CGGGTTGGGACCCTTCTTCAGAAGGGTCTTTTCTGAAGACGGGTCCCGACCCAAAACGTCAACTTTCCTGCTCCCCTGATGCTGCCTGGCCTGCTGTGTTCATCCAGCTCCACACTTTGTTATCTCAGAACCTCAGACACTCCTGTTTTTATCTGTCAGCCAGGGCTCCCTGATTGGTCTGTTAACCTGGACCAATCAGGAAATTCATTTTTATGAGGTCCACCAGGCTGATCTCGTTACAATCACTACAATTGTGCCCATCTCTAACACTTCCTCTGGCGGCTCTTCCAATTCGCACACAACCCTCTGTGTGAAAACGTTGCCCCTCAGATAACTTATAAATCTTTCCCCCTCACCTTAAACTGTTGCCGTCTAGTTTTGGACTCCCCTATCCTAAGAAAAAGGCATTGGTTATTCACCCAATCCACGCCCCTCATGATTTTATAAAGCTCTATAAGGTCACCCTTCAGCCTCTAACGCTCCAGGGAAAACAGCCCCAGCCTATCCTGTCTCTCCTTATGACTCAAACCTTCCAGTCTTGCTAATGTCCTTGTATTTCTTTTCTACACCCTTTACAGTGTAATAACATCCTTCTTATGGCAAGGCAACCAGAATCATACGCAGTACTCCAAAAGGGGCCTCACTATTGTCTTGTACAGTTGTAACATGATGTCCCAACTCCTTTGGTCAATGCTCTGACCAATGAAGGCTAGTGTGCCAAACGCCTTCTTCACCCCCTATTTACATGTGACGCCACTTTCAAGGAATTATGTCCCTGCACCCGTAGGTCTCTCCGTTCAACAGCGTTCCCTAGGGCCCTGGCATTAACTGTGTAAGTCCTGCCCTGGTTTGCCTGACCAAAAAGCAACACCTCATGTTTATTTAAATGAAACTCCATCTGCCATTCCTCAGCCCATTAGCCCAGTTGATCAAGATCCCATTGTACTCTGAGATAACCTTCTTCGCTGTTCATTATACCAACAATTTTGGTGTCGTCTGCAAACTTACTAATCACGTTTCCTATAATCTCAACCAAATCATTCATATTAATGACAAACAACAGTGCACCCAGCTTATGTTTTGCAGCTTCCTGAGCAAATGGTCGCAGTTCTGAGTCATACTGAGAGGCTCAAGCACATGATCGAGGCTGACATCTCAGTCTAGTCAAGTAAAGGTAAAGTCACCATACTTGCAGAGGACCACTCTCATTATAGGGAGAGATAACTGGTGATGGTTTAACCTAACCAGGCCTCAAGGCGAGCTGAGAGGTTGAGAAGGAGAGTCTTTCATGGTAACCTCAGCCAGCGTGGGAATTGAACCCATGCTGTTGGTGTCACTGAGCATTAGCAAACCAGCCATCCCACCAACTGAGCTAGCCTACATTCTCAGTCCAGTGCTGCCTCAGGGACAGGTGCACTATGGATGGGATATTGCGGTCCTGCTTGCACTCTCAGACAGACATAAAGTAACCACATTACTCTTCAAAAGAGGGCTCTACCCTCACCAAATTTACAAACCTCAGTACCTGCCTACGAAACCAGATCATCCCTGATGGACTCAAATCTACAAGCCTCAGTACTCTACCCTCACCATCCTGGTCTACATTTCTTCCTCAAACAACATAGAGACAAGTTTCTGGATTACAAGTGAGAGTGTTTTACAGCTGGCTGTCATTTTGGAACGCAAAGAGAGGAGATTGCAACTGAAGGCTGTTATAAAGAACTGCACCTCCTTTCAGTTCCTATGTATGTTGTGAGATTGACGCATACTTTGATTATGTGAGGCCAATCAGGTCATGGGAATGTGATGGAGGAACGTCCTGATCAAATGGCTTTCCAACCCTCTCTCCATCTAACACATACAGTCAAACCCACTCTTCACAGTCAGGGCTGAGGTATGGGTACCTTGTGATAGTTATTTGCTCCTGCCTGCACAAGGAGCTGGAGAGTCGTGATCATCTTCTTCCGGCGTCTGCCTTCCTCCTTCGCAGCCTTCAGCTCCTCCGCCTGTTTGACCATCTCCTGCTTGGTCTTCTCCAGTTCTTCCATCGCAGTCTGCAGCTGCTCCTCCAGTGCCTGGATGCTGCTCGTGAAGAGCTCCTGAGAGTGGAGCAGATACTCCGTGTTCAGCTGGGCCAGTTTGAAAACCTTCAGCAGGACCGGATCCACGGCGTTCTGGCACCACTGGCACCTCTCCGAGTCCAGGTTGCAAAAGGTCACACTCATGATGTTCTCCTGGAGGGTGGCAACATCCAGTTCTCTGGCCACCCTGTCCACGTCAATGGCGCTAAACCGTCTCCAGTCCACGCCTTCGTGCCTTGACTGGAATTTGAAAGCAGCTGGCCCGCGAGTGCCCAACGACATGGCACCAAATCCCATCCCAGTTCCCGGGTACGCGCCCTGCGATGATATCAGGAACTCCACCACCCGGAAATTCTGTGGTCTCGCCCAGTGAAATTGCGAGGGATAATAAGCGTTGCTGAGAAACGGCTGCAAGAGAGGGAGAAAAGGACACACAGTCAGACTACCCAACTTTCATTTTAAATGACAGTCTCCACACAGATTGTGCCCTCACGCCCTCAACCCAACACCTTTAACCCTTCAAATAAAAACCAAAAGAACTGCGGACGCCGTAAATCAGGAACAAAAACAAAGTTGCTGGAAAAGCTCAGCAGGTCTGGCAGCATGTGTGAGGAAAAAACAGAGTTAACATTTCGGGTCCGGTGACCCTTCCTCAGAACCTTTAACCCTTCCCCCTCCCAGACCCCACACACCGACTCACCTCCCCCCTCCCCCATTAATTGGAGAAATGTTCAAGACATCTTTCTTTCCTCCCCATCCTCTCTTCCCTCCCACATTCCCACTATAAATGAAGTACAGCAAACTTTGTTTTAACCAGCAACATCTTGTGAACCAGCACTCTCAATAAAACGGCAAAAGTTATGAACCTCAAATACTATAAAGTTCACTATTATTCTGTCCAATTATTATTGTTTTTTACATTTATTTACCTCAGTGTAAACATACTTGCCATTCAATTGAATGGCCACACAAAATATCAACAGTTGATTCAATTTCAAGTCAATTTCTCCTCAAACACCATGACCTACCGCAATATCAGGGTAGTCAGTTGAGGGTGTGAGTGAGAAGGTTCCCAAATGGTAAGTTTTCTTTAATGCAAAGTTGCTTTATTATTTAAGTAATTTATGCTGTAAATGAAGCATAACAGTGATGTGTATATTCCCTGCGTTATGTTTTTATTGATTAATGTGTGTTTTTACATCGATTGTGTGGACTCTTGATCAACCGGAATATTTGATCAACCAGCACACTCCTGGTCTTATCGCTGCCAGTTAGTAAAAAGTTTGCCGTATAAAGAATCCATTTCAGCCAAATCTTACATCCAGCACTATATAGCCTCCCACATTTACAATCTTTTGCGTAGAAATCCCACAGCAGCTCAGAGGAGGGAATGCTGCATTGCAAAAAGTGCTGTCTCTACACTTATAGTTCGGGCTTTTCTGCCTATTTAGATGGATGCTGAAGATCCAGTGATGCCACTTTGAAGAAGATCACAGGAATTTTCCTCGCCATCTTGGACAATACTTACCCCAATTACCGTCACTAAAATAGGACATTATCACATTGTTGAGTGGGAGCTTGCTGTGTACAAATTGTTTGTCAGGTTCCTCACGTTACAGCAGTCACTACACATCAAAACATGACTTAATTGGCTTTTAAAGCACTTTAAAATGTCTAGTGGTCGTGAAAGGCACTATATAAATGCAAGACTTTAACTTTAGGACCAGCCACAATAAAAGGTATACCCAGATTTCAGATCTCTCCAGACATTCTCAGTGAGTGAAGAGCACCTTACGGAATCTGCACTTGTTAATCCTCTATTCTGACTGGCACATTCTGTAGTTGCATGAAGACTATGTTTACTGTTGGCAGTAACTTCATCACTGAGGCACTCTCTCTGTTGGCACTTATGCCGTAGCTGGCAACAAGCCTGACTCTCCCAGAAGGAAAGACCAACCACCCCTCACCTCTGACATCGCTCTCAATGGTTTACGTGCGCACTATTTTTATATTGGCAAGGTTACCCTCCAACATACCATGCTCATGGCTAATCCCTCACAATCAGCCTCGACAGGGAAAAGGATGTGACTGGCAGATTCTGCAAGTGGCACAGTGGCTCAGTGGTTAGCACTGCTGCCTCACAACACCAGGGACCCGGGTTCGATTCCACCCTCAGGTGACTGTGTGGAGTTTGCACATTCTCCCCATGTCTGCGTGGGTTTCCTCCCACAGTCCAAAGATGTCCAGGTTAGGTGGATTGTCCATGCTAATTTGCCCTGTAATGTCCAGGGATGTGTGGGCTAGGTGGTTAGCCATGGGGAAGGTGGGATTGTGGGGATGCTCTTTGGTGCAGGCTTTGGTCCTATAGGGATTTTATTCTAGGATTCTCCTATTGTACCCGCACCTTGGTTCCTCTGACACACTCTCATAAATGTTGCTCTTGATCTGTTCAACATCACCCTTACCTCAGTTTGTTCATTGCCCCCACTCCCATTCTACACTTCGTCTTTTCTGAACACTGAGTACCACAAGCTTCTGGATGCTCCTTTCCTGCCTGGCCAGAGAGACCACTTTCAACAATAAGGTACCTCCAAGCTCTTCACAGAGAAATCCTCTTGGTATCTCCTGGGCAGTGAGCACAATCTCAGCCTCCTCGATGACAAGCTACCTCCTCCTCACGCCTCAATACTCCTCTCCTTATCAAAGCATAAACAGCTCCCAGTTCACATTCACAACTGGAGTACAGAAGAATGAGACGCGACCTCATTGAAATACATAAGATTCTCAGGGGTCTTGACAGGGTAGATGTGGAGAGGTTGTTTCCCCTTGTGGAAGAGTCAAGGGTCAGAGGGCTTAATCTTTACAATGAAGGCAGAGATGAGAAAGAATTTCTTCTCTGAGGGTCGTGAATCTGTGGAATTCGTTATCGCAGAGGGATGTCGAGATGCGGTCATTATGAATATTCTAGGTCGAGATAGATTTTGAAGGAATCAAGAGTTACAGGGATAAGACAAGAAAGTGGAGTTGAGGATAATCAGATCAGCCATGATCTCATTGAACAGCAGAAAGGATTCAACGGGCTGAATGGCCCATATCTGCTCCCACATCTTACAATCTTGTAATGACATCATCCATACGTATTTACACATACAACAGACAGCACCCAGTGACCTCCCTCTCACAAGTTACTGCTCTTCTAAACATAGTATTTTCTCATTCAGAACTCGATCGATCCTAATCTGTCTCACAGCCTAGTCCAACAGCGTCTCTCGCCAGCCGCTCTCCTTCGGCCATGCTAAGCTAAGATACCCCGTTGACTGAGTTGAGCTATGTTGTGTGAGCATCACACATTCCCCATGCTGGCCCCAAACCTACTATTAATCAATACCCTTATTGATCCCTCCAACCACGAGTACCAACGCTCTCTTTCCGTTCCCACATTCCACAGAACGTGCAACGCCTCCAAAATTCCTTCGCCCATATCATCCTGTGACATGTCGCCCCGTGCCAGTCAAACTCCACTGGATCTCTGTCCAATAACACATTCAAATGAAAGCTCTGCTCATACCTGCAAGTGCCTCCATATCTCAATGCCCCCAGCCCCAAGTGCACTGAATACCCATCTTTCTCTGTCCCCCATCCTTCAGTTATTGGTGCATAGTGATCCCAGAATGTGGGATTATTTTCCCTGAACCACATGTTTCCCGTCTCCCCCAGCGGAAACTTCCTGAAAATTCACATCTTCTCAATAAGTCACCTTCCCTTACTTTTACCCTTCATAGAATCCCTACAGCGTGGAAGCAGGCCATTCACCCCCATTGAGTCCACACCGACCCTTCAAAGAGCATCTCACCCATGCTCACCCCATCCCCTTAAACCCTGCATTTCCCATGGCTAACCCACCCAGCCTGGACATCCCTGAACACTATGGGCAACTTAGCATGGCCAATCCACCTAATCTGCACATCTTTGGACTGTGGGAGGAAACCGGAGGACCCGGAGGAAACCCACGCAGACACAGGAAGAATGTGCAAACTCCACACAGACAGTCACCTGAGGGTGGAATCAAACCCAGGTCTCCGGCGCTGTGAGGCAGCAGTGCTAACCACTGAGCCACCGTGCCAGAGTGGCATCTGTGAAGCATTCTGTTCTGTTAAAGGCTATATATCAAGTCAAGTTACATTTGAGATTCATGGAACTCCCCATGGCTCAGAAGGGAAGCTGCAATTTAAGCAGAAAGCCTGTTGTGTCACTTCTGATATCGCTACAAAGACCTAAACGCTGATACTCAAGTGTAAACAGGTCAGACGTCTTCAGGGCATGTACAGACAAATACCAAACACCACATTACACAGAACCTGCTCCTACTGAAACAACTAGAAAAAGAGAGAGAGAATGAAAGGGGGAATGAGAGAAATTGACAGAGAGCGAGCGAGATAGACAGAGAGGCGAAAACATTTAGTGCATAGGGGTGGTGTCAGGAGTGACAGGAAGGTACTAGGAGAGGGGACAGCTCCCAAGAGTAGGGCTGGAGGTGCCAAGAATGAGGAGGAGAGTCTGGGAGAGAAAGAAAGCGAGAGAGAGTGCGGCAGAGGCTGGCGGATAAGTGAGTAAGTTTGACTCCAGTGGGAGATGGGATACAGGGAAAGGCGGGTTACAAAAATGCTTTGCAGGTCTTTTGCACGCATTATCATATAAAAAATGGCTTAACACTCCTCATATACATTTACAATGTCATTTATTTTATACAAGACAAACCTAAAGGTGCATTTGGCCAGTCTCTGTACTGTGCAAGAAAGTATACGGAATCTGAAATTACAGAATAACTCTTGACAATTATCAAAGTCCAATAATAATATTGTTGTGGTGCAATACTTTTTATGTTCTGTTGTTTTGCAAATTCCAAACAGCTTGTTAAAACAGTTTGCCTGTAGGAGGGGCACTGGACCCAAAACTTTAGCTCTGCTTTCTCTCCACAGATACTGCCAGACCTGTTGAAGTTTTCTAGCAATTTCTGTTTTTGTTTCTGATTTCTAGCATCTGCTCATTCTTTTTTTGTTTAGCTTTTTAACTGCAGTTAACCAGCCTGAACAAAGGGGCAGAGGTGAGAAGGGTCACCACTAGACACAGCTATCATAGAAATACAACACAAGGGCCTAACCTCTCTCCCTCCCAGCTGGAAATTTCCCAGGATTTCTGGGCTTCTATCTTGTTAATATCATTCCTAAGTACTTTGTGGAAAGTATTCCTGGTTAGTGACAAGCTACCTGAGCTAGAAGCTGTTGTTCCAAAAGCTCCAGGACCATGGAGCAGCCTTCCAACGATTTCACAGAGCTGCACATCAGTAAGCATAAATAGCACAATGTAGGTAGAGTTGGACTACATTATACTATACACCACCACACCAGACTACATTACAGTGAACTAGAATTCTGGAAGATTCATATAAACACATAGATGTAAACACACAGAGAATACATAATCCTTATCTTTTGTAACTGTAAGAACAGAGCCTTGCATATCTGTGATTATCACATATAAGAATATTTAGAACACCTAAAAGATAGTGTTACTATTAACTTGAAGCCTGAAGGTAGTTCTTGACTTTTTCTTCTGCACATTCAGTCTGTCTGAAACCCAAACTGACTGTGACATCAAACCACATGATAAAGAGATTTCCAAAGGTTAGAAAATGAAATTGTGAAAAGTCAAGATGCAAATCCCAAGTCTTTTACTTTCTATCCATTTTAATTGTCACAGGTTTAAAATTGCACGTACATCTGTGATTGCCCAATCACAAAACAACAACAAAGAAAACCAATCAAACCAGTCAAAAGCAAGAAAATTGAGATTGAAAATTATCAATTAGATACAGGCACCAACTAAAAGGAACAAAACACAACAAAGTCATAAAAGTATGTCTAACCACCACCTTCTTTAACTTGGAGTAACTTCTCCCCCTCTAAAGGCCTGCATCGGTGCTAGAAGCCTGAACCCCAAATTTTATTACAAGCTAAACAAGATATTTAACTACACTGCAGAATCCAGGACTGCACAGTGTCAATGCATGAGTCATTCTGTTACGCTGCGGTTCCCACCTTTAAGCTGCCATCTCCCCTCAGTCCAATAGCATGCAGGTCAGAAAGGACACAACTTACAAGCAGCAAGTCAAGGCTTACTCATCTATGGCCAGTTTGGCTGCCAATCATTTAAAAACGTTCTGTTCCTTTAAATGCACACCTCATCTTTTTTGATTGGATATGCACCTCCAATCTTCAAATTCAAAATAAGGCCTGGTGAGACTTGGTTTCCTGTTAGCTGGTCAGTGAATACCCTAACACTGTCAACCAGCACAGACCCTGGAGATCCAGTGGTGTTGATATGCACCAATATCTTGCTGGACCCAATCCACAGCCTGGGATGAGCTTACAGGCCAAGTACCACTCCATCTTGGGGCAATTTCAAGGGAAATTAGCTAGCATTACATAAACATGGATTCACAAAGTTACATGAAGTATCAATTCAGGATTTTTGACATGTCTCACTTACAACACAAAGCTGTACAAGATTTTACTGAAACATCTAATTTCCAGCGGTGACCTGATCAGAGGATCCTGAAAGGATGCTTTGTCTCATGGGAGAGCCAAGGAGACACAGTTTAAGAATAAGCGGTCTCCCTTTTGAGACGGAGATCAGGAGAATTTTATTTCTCTCAGAAGACTGTTTGTCTGTGGAATTCTGTTCCCCAGAAAGCTGTGGAGGCTGGATCATTGAATTTATTCAAGGCAGAGTTAGATAAAGTTTTGATCGTCAAGGGGATCGAGGGCCATGAGGAAGGGGGTGGAGCTCACAGGAAGATGATGATCAGTCATGATCTTATGGAATGGTGGAACAGGCTTGAAGGGTTGAATAGCCTAATCTTGCTCCTCATTCCAATGTTCCTACGTTCCTCTGACTCTACGGCACATGGTACACAAGTCACACTTAATTCTTTAGTCCTTACCATTTCTTTTATAGGCTGGGTCCAGATCCCAAACTGCAGCAAACAACAAATATTCCCTCGGAGCAGCTATGTTGTATCAGTTGCTACTGAGTGCTTGGAAACGACTGACCAAACAACATGCCAAGGCATACATGAGTATCGTTTGTCTTAGAACAATTGCACAGGATAAATACAGCCAACGCTGCGACAATATGCATGAAAGTACAAAACTAGTATGTGTGCTTAAGGAGCTAAACTTAACCTAAAAGGCTAAGCGACCATTTATAAAGATGCAGGTTGACTACAAAAGTACCCTCTTGGTACTGGCATGGGTTAATGGAAACTGACGTACGACCATTACCACTCGTTAAACTTCAGTATCCATTCTCACTGAAGCTTCACATTGCAAGGGCTTGTAACAAATAGCTTTCCTTTCTATATACCTACTCTGCATTACGAGTTAGGTTCAGAAGACAAAACAATTACAGGACAGGTTCACACAGAGTCAGGAAGCCTCCATAAAATTGGTGGGTGTGACCCAGATGCAAAAGTCCTGGGCCGACTTCCAACAAATCCAATTTTTCCCAGCTTTAAACCAATGTTGGGAGCCCTGACTGGACTGAGTAGACACAAACACTCTTGAGGGGCAGACAAAGCCTGTTTAAGTTTCAAAACAAGTTCTTATATCCTGTGCTCTTTAAACTTGAAAAAAGACTTGCACTATCAGTGAGAGTTAAAAACAGTCTCCCAGGCTGCTTTGATTGACAGGTCATCTGGTATAGGTTGGAACATAATACTCTCCCACAGCTTCTTTGCTCGTATTTCCCGAGGGCTATTAGTGTGTTGTCAATGTTTGACTGAGTTTCAAAAGCCAAAAGAGCCCAAATCAGCAAGAGGTTGAATTCACAGTTTGACTGGCAGTTTAAAGATGTTATAAAAGGATTAGCTGTCTTTGATGTGACTACTGAATAGAAGTAAGTTTGGTTTCATAACAGATTAACGAGATTCAAAAGTTTTATATTGTCTTATGAATGGGAGCTTTATGTACTAACAAGTGTAACAAGATTGAAGGTATTTGAATGTCTGAAGAATTTTTTCTCTCCAAATGGACTCCAAGGTCTGCCCTTCCTGGGTGAATTATTATGGGAATATGTGGAATGTTATGAAGGCATATGGGGGCTGGACGAGGGCAGAACTTGGCATGGGTGTGACATGGGGCTATGATAGGACAAGGGAAAGACAGGGGCATTAGTTGGTATTTGAGTAGGTACAGTAAGGATTTCCACATGGGTAGCATGACAATATGGGGGAGGAGGTGAGGTGGGAGCAGGTGTGAAGGGAACTTGAGCTGTGAGGACTAGCAAGACTATCAGCTTCTAAAGCAAGTTTGCAGAGTTCAAAGATGGGCTTTCGAAACAATCCCTCTGGATACTCACCCATCCCGAATGCCAACTACTCTCTGTTTCCAGAGTCAGTGGGCCCAACTCTATCAACCACCATCCCTTTGG